TTTAAATATTACAATTATTATTTATGTCTTCTAGCTGCCAGGAAAATATCCAGATAACTCTGAGATCTTTCCTAAAACAGCATTATTATTCTTATATTTTATAGAGAAAGACGGTAAGATAAAATCTATTCACAAATGTTAAAAACACTCACACGTGCAAAACACTTCATTTGGGATAGAAATATGCACTATAATGTTCGACATTTAACGGTAGTCTCGATTTACTGTCAGCAGCCGTGATGGCTATCGAGAGTAGATATAATTGTGCATCAGGATGCATTTATGCACTTACCAATCTGATATTAAGCTAATTCAATAAAAACAGAGGCACGTCGCGCGAGTCAAGCACAATTAAATTTATAAGGCTATCATCCAGGCCTAACTTAAATTCTTCTTTGATATACCATATAATTAACAGCAGCATATATGTATACATTAATTATATACTTACAGCTGCCGTACGTTACATAGTATTTATGTTTATAAGAAGCACTAATGATAATATCTGAATTTGAATACATTACATTACATTATATTTTCACACGAATATACATACATACATACATACATATATATATGCGCGCGCGCACGCACACACACACACACACACACACACACACACACACACCGCGCCAATTTTTTCGCGAAATAAGGAACGAAAAAAAATAATTAAAATTAAAATCAAAGAATAATCGATGACTACTAAATTTTGTTCGTATAATAAAAGAAATAAAAAATATTTTTTTCTTTGATGACATGACACTTATTTAGGACTCGATGAGGAGTAAAGCTCATAATTTTCACAGGAGGATCTATCAAGCTTCAGTTTGATCGTGCAAAGCGTCCACCTACCTGGTGGCTCTACGTTTATCACGCAACTGAGCTCGGTTCTTCCGCGGCTCGTCAAATAATAGCAGACATGACGCCGACCTACTAACATCAGTCACCGTTGTCGGCGATCTACGCATGGATTCCTGAAGCGAATTAAAAACGGAATACGCGCCTCCATGCTTTTCGCATGCATGATTTTTTTTAAGATTTTCTTTATGGAATTATTATTAGATGTTCTTGAAGAGGTCAGCTATTTTGATAATATTCCTTCTCGAGAAACTTTTGATCTTTTAAATAGCAGTGAATTCCACATTAGCGCAATCTAATCTTGAATAGAATTATTGTTAAATTAGTCTATATTTTCTGATAATTTATGTTATTTTTGTTATTTAGAAACTTCTTTAATAATCAACAAATTAATTTATAAAATAAAAATAGACAATAAGTATATTGGCTTATTAATTTATTTAAAATATTTTTAATATATAATTTTTATATATATATATTTTCTCCTTCTCTCTCATATACATATTATGTATTATATGTATATATATGTATATATTGTATATCATCTACATACATATATGTATTGTATACACAAGGTGTTCTATTTTATTTCTCTAATAGCATACTTTATTCTAGATACATCCTGGGGCTGTCCTTAGGATGTTCAAAGGACATCCGGCGGCCCTCAGATCGTCCTGTGGAGGTTTGTGTGCTGTTAGAGTTTAAACACTATCAATTTTCTCCGAAATTATTGATATACTAAAAAATGTTTCAGTGAAACGGTTTTGAGAGAGACGTATTTTGATTACGTTGTTTTTTTTCTGATGGAGGTGCCAGATGAAGGTGCCAAGAAGATATAAGATCACTTCTTTTTTTAATCATATAATTTTTTCGTATAATATGTGATTTTTCTAATTATTCTACATATAAAAGTATTAAAAGATAGATTTCAAAAAAATTAATCATTTCCAAGATATAATATATATTTGATATTATTATTATAATACTTTAGTCTAGCAAATTTTAACATTAAAATATCTAGTAAACTATTAATTCTTTAATATCTCTACTTTTTTTTGTCTGTAATGGTAACATTATAACATCGTTACATTTCTACAATAACGGTAACAAATTCAGCCGTTACTTATTATTTTATCTTTAATTCCTTATTATCTTCATAATAACTTGATATATTCAATAGATCGCATTATTTTTAATTGACTAGAAATATTTTATGATTGAAATTTTTCGAATAATATCGAAAAATGTTTTGTAAACTGTCATATGTCAAGCTCCGATAATCACTATTAGTATTGAAAATCTATAATTTATATTCCTCATGTGCATACCATGGATTTTCAGTACTGGAAGTGAATCTTGAAATACACTTCTTTTAATAACGACATTAATATTTAAAAAGAATTAGTTTAATCTATATTCATATAAAT